TTTTCAGCCACAATGCTGCACGTGGGGTTCTCAGTGACCCTTTAGAAAATCCGTTGTGCTCTCCTCACCACCCGCCAATAGGACTTGCACACGCCTGGGTTCCGGTGCTTTGCTTTTGCTTAGAGTGGAGACGTCCGCCGCTCAGTAGCTTAGCTCGGTGATCTGCTTGGATCTGCCTGTTATGGGTTCCCATCTGCGATTGAGACGTTCAACCATTCCCCACCCTTAACTTGTTTTAACATGTCTTATTAAAATTCAACCTTATTTTATATCCAAGTTCCTGTCTTTAGGGGACAAATATTCCTCTTGTCTGAACATGCTGATGGAACATTTTCTTTATGCTTTTCATAAAAACCAAGTTACAGGATACAAATGTGCTGACGGTGCTGTGCTCTGGATTGGATTTCAAAACTGGATTGAGATCCTGTTAGTTCTTAAACCACTCACTGGGAGCTGGACTTTGTGGTGGGTCTGCTATTTGTTTGGTTGCTCGTTGTCTGAACTGGTTTTCCTACAGTATAAAGCTTCCTAGTTAAGCTTACTGATGTAGGACAGAGAGTTCTCACACAGAGGTTTGGGGGGATCCGCCACTTTCCAACTCCATCCTCCACATGGTCCTTTTGTTTTCAAAAGACCAAAGAGAGATGCACAAAAGGCCACATCCTCTCAAGCGGTCTTGCCCGTTACTGCTGAAGAGCAGTAAGCTGAATCTTGTCTCTTCTACACTTACAATGCACTGACCCTTGATGACCAGGGTTGGGAGGGTGGTGTGTGACTGAGTCCAGGGGGATCTGAATCCCACCTTGTCTCTTTTCTTCCTTGGTCTTGCACATCTGAATATCTCACTGTCTTTTAAATTTAGAAAAAAAGATCTACTTCAAAGCAGTTGAAACTGGCCATTTAAGAACATATCAAAAACTGGAATCATGTGGCTCTAAGGAAAACAGCACCTGTGGGGTGTGTAAACATCTTATGGCTACGATCACAAAATACTACCACCCTTTACAGAAGCAGCAAGGATCTGTTTTCCCAAAGTCCTGGAGATGAGCGGTCTGAGAGGAAAGAGCCAGTAGTGCCAGTGTCTTCTGAGATGTGGAGGAAGCCGTATCCCAGATCGTGTTCCAGGCCTGTCTCCTTGGCTCTATCAGGAGGTCTTTCTCCTCTGCTTTCAATGTGTTCCTTCTATTGGCCACTGTGTTCCAACCCCTTCTTCTTACATGACCCCCATCTTATTAGATCAGGCTCTACTCCAGTGGCCTCACTTCAACATCATTATCTTCATCTAGACCTTCCTATACTTGAGGACTTCAAGACTTGAATTCTGGTGTGCGGTTGCTTGAATGAGAATGGTCCCCATAGGCTTATGTGCTCTAATACTTGGGTCCCAGTTGGTGGAACTGTTTGGGAAGGATTAGAAGGTGTGGCCTTGTTGGAGGGGGTGTGTCACTGGAGACAGGCTTTGAGGTTTCAAGTGACCCATGCTGTTCCCAATACACTCTCTGCTTCCTGCCTGTGGCCAAGATGTCAGCTGTTCCTGCTGCCAGGCCTTTGTTCTGCCGTCATGGACTCTAACCCTCTGGAACCGTAAGCCCAATTAAACATCCTCTTCTATAAGGTCCCTTAGTCATGGTGTTTTATCACAGCAATGGAAATGTAAGTACTACACAGTGGGACACACAGTGCAATTTATAAACGTGAAGAGACCCCAGGCTTCCAGGGACATGCTAGATACTTTTGTATACATCATGCTGTTTGTTTTATTTTGCTGTTGTTTGTTTGTGTTTTGAGGTTTGTTTGTTTGTTTTTGTTTGTTTTTTAGCCTTCACAAGCATACCATACTAGAAACACATTGTAATCCCATTTCCTAGATAGGAAAACCAAGACAAAAAAACATCCACTCGTCCTCTGCATACTAAAATACACCACAGCAGGATTTGAACTCAAGTCTGCATAAACTGTGCTACCATCCTGCGTCTTGTGATTTTCTCCTCAAATATTTTCTTCGTTCTAAAGGAATAAGATTTTGAACCGATGCAACCCAGCAGAGCTCCACCCTATTACTTAGTAGGAAAGTTACTTTGAAAAGTGAAGCTGTTGTGAGACTTTGCAGTCAAAGCACAGCTGCGCTGCCTCCCCCTACCTTTTAACTTCCTCTTGTAGATCTCAGGCCGCCAGGCTCCATACGGGCAGGAGCATCCACTTCATCACTTCCCTCCCTTCAGGCTGCCTGGTGACTGAGAGTCCTCCTGGTCTAGCCTGCTTCTCGACTCAGAAATCTTTAGAGTCTCTCAGAGATGTAAAGGGCAGTTAAGAGGGAGATTGCAGTGTGATGACGGAGTCCTTTCAGTTTCGGTTTTGTGTCAAAGGGTAGAAAAAGACTACAGAGAATATCTATGGATGGGGAGCCTGCAGCCTAACAAGAAAGTTGCTAGAGAGGAAACTGATGATGGACATGTCTTTCAATCCCAAGAGTTACTGGAACACAATCAGAAGACAGACACAAGCGCTGCTCACAGCCACCTGCAAAGCAGAGCGAAGGAAACCAGGAAGGGAGAGCAGGCAGCTGCTTGGTCACATCTACAGATAGCTTGTGGTTGGCTGAAACTATTTAAAAATACATGCTCTTCGCCAGGGAATGGAGATGATGCTTCTCTTAGTAACAGTGGGTATGCTCTCATATCAGAGGAGGAAGGTTTTAATTCTGCCTATGTCACTGCCCACGAGTGTATCTCTGGCAAATCAATTGGTTTCACTGAGCATCAACGTCTTCATTTATCAAACCAGTGTGAGGTGTCGCTGTGAGGCCAAATGAGGTCATGTGCAAGAGTTTTGAAAGTTACACAGACTATCCCTAGGTTAGTGATTTCTCTTGCCTTATTATTAACTCAGATCTACCAGGACTTGTAATTAGGTTGGATTTTGTAGTTTGAGTCTCCAATTTTTGGACTACCAGACTTGTTGGTTTCCTTCTCCTTTATACTTCTTTCATGCGTTTTGGTCTTTTCCAACTTGTGGAGGGGAACAACGAGCCATTAGGAATTTTTATTTTTAATTTTTTTATGTTCATAAATATGTAATGGGAATAAAGATGAAAATAGACCCCTTAATGAAGAGCTTGTGTACACTAAAAAAGTAGCCTGTCACATTTGAAAGGAGCTTAGCCCTTCTGAGGAAATTACCTGTCATCTGCTTTTAGAGCAGCCTGGCAGACTCCCGACAGATACTGACATTTAATTTTTCCCGAGAGCTATTAAGATGGGAGACGCTTGGGAGCCGCACTCCCGTATCATCTCGATGTGCCAAGTGATTGAACAGAACATGTGACAAGGACCTCTCCTTGATGATGAAGCACCGTGGAAAATCCTGAGTTGGCACCTCATGGAGCGGTTGCAAATCAAGTCAGAGTCCCGTTGTCCAAGCAACTGGGAGAAGTGCTCTTGGGACAGCAAGTTCTCCTTGGAGTTGCAAACAGACCTTGTGTCTGTCTTGGTCCCTCGCAGTGGAGACTGACACCTCTTAGTTCTCTACACACGACTGCTCTTTATCCCGCGTGCCACTGAGAGATACTAAAGTTGTTCCTCTTTTCAGCAAGCAGGGTAGGGAGGACCTGGAGTGGTGTGGGGTTGTGTGTATCACGGAAGCAAAGTGTATCAGCAACGTTTCGGTTCCTGGGGGACCACTTGCACAGGCCCCGGTGTGGAACTCGGTTGCTTAAGAAGTCAAATTCCTAGGCTTCGGCAAGCCTGGCTTTTGCTGTCTCTCTATTTCCTGGGCTAACTGGAGGAAGAGGGTAGTTTAGAGGAGGGATGGATCTGTGAGATAATAGGGTGCTACATTTCCATTTAGAAGACTTGGGCAGCTGGTGGCCATCCACTGCGTGTGCTCTCTAAGGAAATCAGTTAATTTCAGCTATATATCTGGATTGTAACTAAAATTTAGCATCTGGTTAACCAGAGTGAGCTCATTTGGCATGCTAGAATCTCCTCACCATGCACTCTTTTTTTTTTGATTGCTTGCATGTGATGAGGTTGATGCCAGTGAATCTATTATTCTGACAAATGCTAATCAGATAGGAACCTGATTTTAAATTCAAATTCATTGTGCACTATTAAGTTTTCTAACATTGTGTGCTTTGGATGGCCTCATTTGCATGATTTTTTAAGTGTGCATTTCGGGCTACAATTTTATTATCTGAGTGTTCTTTTATTGAATATAAGTCTTCTGCTGAGAAAGTTCCTTGTGAGGATGTGAAAAGGTTATCAATTAATCTGCAGTGGAGATACACCCTGGTTGGAGTCTGTATGGCTATATTGGTGGTAGTTTGTCATCTAGCTACAAGGCATAGAAGTTGAGACCACTGACTCAGAATTCCTGGGTTCAAATCCTACCTCCTCCACTCCACCTATGTACCGTGTATATAAAGTAGCCGCAGAGAAATCATGTAATCCTGTAGCTTTATCTTTAATTCAAGGTAGTGAAAGCATTCACCCAGAGGATTCTCCGATTGCATTATCAATCACAAGCAGCCTCCAACATCTTCTGGGTTATGCCTCAATAACAGTGGGGCCCAAATAGGAGCGACTTACAACTAGAGGTTTGTTTCCTCTTCCCATTCATGTTCATGTCCATCGTGGGTTGGCTCTGTCTCCACTAGATAACCTCTTCGCTAGGTGGCACTCCAAGCATCATGACAAAGAAGAAAAAGACATAACAGAATCAAAGACGGTTTTAATAGCCTACGCTTGGAGGCAGAACATGCCATTCTTGATCAATCTAATTGATCAAAACAAAGCAAGTAGTCCACCTGATGTCAAGTGACTAGGAGGATGAACACAGTACATGTTCAGTAGTTGTCAGTCGTTAACTATTGAGTCCTGTTCACAAAACGATTGAGCTGTAGTACCATCCCCTACTGGGACAGAGAAGACGATCCGTGTGTTTGTCAGACGGTTTTCTTAAAAGTGCGTTAAGGGGCTCAGTCCTGCCTTTGGACATTCCAGGAAAGGTGGTCTATGGAGAACCCATTGCGGCAGGTCTTGGTACCGATGGCACACACTATTGGAGCAAAGAATGGCGCCATGCAGCCCACCATGTCATGGGACCTCCGCTGAGACCTGATCCTTCAACACCTGGCTTTCTCATGAATCTGTTGGCTAAGTAATAATTTTTCAGATGACGGTAAAGTATTTGGGCAAAAGATAATCCTTTCTAAGTCTCATCTTTGGGTGGAGGAAAGCTGGCCCTATACCTCCAGCTTCCACAGACCCTTCTGGTCCTCTGTTCTGTTTGACTCATGCTATCTGGGGAGCAGAAAACACTGGACTTACGATGTTTTAAGCTGATACAATCTAGAGACTACACTGTTGTATGGACAATAGCCCTTTCTAGTCATTCTGAACATTCTAGCATGTCCCATTCACATGTCCCCAGATTTGAGTTAATGGGGAGCTTTATTCAACAACAAAAAGTACTTATCCTTTTCTAACCTCCTTCCTCCTTCATACTTCTGTATCCCAGAGATTATTAATAACCCAAAGTGGTATTCAGCTGTTCTCAGCCAGTCTTACACCTGTGTTCAAACGGTATGGACGTCTGGACCTGCCTCCGTTGCCATAGATCACCATTATGACATCTTGCATGGCATTTTACTCGTAAAGAACTTCTACCTACATTGCTCCTGGTGACCCTGTTGTTAGTTAGCATTGTCGAGTCCATGCAACTATCAATTTCTGGGTGGGACAAGCTCACAGCTGTGAGCTCATCAGTCTTGGTGCAGAGTCTGGCATGCACCCTATAATCTCACAGACCCTTCCTTCCTCAAACTAGCCATCTTCCTCCAGCTAGCCTGGGAAATTGAAAAGCAGTTAAAAAACGGGCTTGCTGAGGATGCTGCACGGTAATCCTTAGGAGCATGTTCTTGAAAAGTGCTTCCTATGACAGACCCAGAAGAGAGGTGAGATGTGTACCCAGAAATTCTACTCACACCCTCTCCCACTGCTTGGGGTCCCGTGAAGGAGGCAGTCTGGTCAGAGGCTAAGAAACACCAAGGAGTTTCCCCCTACGTGTGCTACCTGCTAGGCTCCTCATCATTCTCTTTCTTTCTCATCCTTTACAGTGGCGATCTGAGCACCACAGGGAGTGATAACTGTACCTTCAACACATGCCAGAAAGCTCTTGGGAAAGACGACTTCACTAAGATTCCCAATGGGGTGAACGGTGTTGAGGACCGGATGTCGGTGATATGGGAGAAGGGCGTGGTGAGTTTCACAGGAGTGAGCCTGGTTCACTCAGGATCATGACCTTCATAGAAACACCTCCCCCCCAGAATAAACTGGGAATCACACAGTCACTATCAACTCCATCCCTTCCCTCCTCCAGGACGTTATCAGCAAACAAGCAGTTGATCTTTCCTCATAGTTTAGCTCAGAAAAGGTGTTACATCACTGTCACTGGGCAGAGAGACATTGGGGGCTAATTTACACTGGGTCCAGATAGGGTTATTCTTTGTGTCATTGATGTAAACATTTGAACTGATGAAGAATATATGAAGGATATTGAATTCACTGTCTGAAGTTATACAGATGATGAAGTCTATGGGCATAATGATTTATAAAACTAATAAATGAAGAATGAATAAAATGTTTTTTTTCCCAAGGATGGAGCAGAATCACACAGACAGGTGTTAGGTGCTAAGCCATCTATCCTTGTGACATGTGTAGTTATAAAGATCTATAGGAAAACTAGGTAGACTCCGGGTTCCCACTGTCACACTTTTCAAAGACCCCTCTCTTAGATGATACATTAATCATATTTCATGCTTGAGAATTCTCTTTGATGAGTTTCTCTGACATCTACTATCGTTTCTACTTCTCATTGTCCTAGTTAGAGTTTCTATTGCTGGGATGAAACACCATGACCAAAAGCAAGTTGGGAAGGAAAGGGTTTATTTGGCTTACAATTCCACATCATAGTCCATCACTGAAGGAAGTCAAACAGGGCAGGAACCTGGAGGCAGGAGCTGATGCAGATGCCGTGGAGGGGAGCTGTTTACAAGTGTGCTCATGATGGCTTGCTCAGTCTGCTTTTTTTTTAATAGAACCCAGGACCACCAGGCCAGAATGGCACCACCCACAATGGGCTGGGCCCTCCCTCATCAATCACTAATTAAGAAAACACCCTACATCCAGATCTAATGGAGGAATTTTCTCAGTTGAGGCTCCCTCCTTTCAGATAACTCTAGCTTGTGTCAAGTTGACATAAAACTAGTCAATGCACTCGTTATTCACTGAGTCCCATTGATTTTGTTTTCAGAATGCCTCCTCATTTCTGCATTCATGGATACCGTCTAATCGGAGGCTCACATTTTGTTTGGACCATTCGTATAGTCTCAAAGCTGCTTTCCTTATTCCCAGGGACCAATTTTTCCGGCTGTTCTAGCCTGGAGTTGCCGCTCATAACGAAGCTCTGTTCATGTTATTTCCTTCTCAAAAGCACTTCGGTGTTGTTCATGACCAAATGGCAGTATTGAAGCAATCAGTTTAGTGCCAGGGTCTTCAAAACCTCTCTCTAGTTCTAACTTCTGTTGACCCCCCTTTCTCCATCTACTCCTACCTCTAACATCCCTGATGACTCCCCCTCTTTCTCCTTGCTTAGATATTCTAGATTATAATCCAACTTTCCTCCTTAAACTTGTGTTGTTACAGTAAATATCTTTATAACAGCAGATTTTCATAATCCATTAGAGTTCCCATCATACATAAAGGTATAGTTACATACATCTTTAAATATGATCTTTAAAATAGTTGAGTATTTCCCTAACATGTATGAAACTGTATAATTTTCTGAAACAATAAGATGATTTACTTCTGGGATTATTAGAAATAATTAAATAAATCTTAGAAAAAGTCTTGCCATATACATATATAAGCCTTATAAGGGTTCTATATTAAAATTTCTTAAAATAGACTTTCTAACATTTCTGTTTCACATAAATTTAAATTGAACAAAATTGTACCTCTTATGCTTATCTTTTATCTTCTCAAGGCATTGTCACCTAATTTATAAGCATCATAACCTATTTTCTTTTGAGTATTTGGTATTTTATCTAATATTTACATGATCATCTCACAAATCTTAGGTCTGCAATAAATAAGGCAGATCATAAATATTGTAGGTGCTAGCAGAAATCTTTAAATGGGAATGGAAAATGGCGGTGTCAGTATTTACACCATTGTGTGTAGTAATCTTGGGTGATGGGGGTAGATGTTGAGGAAGTACAAGGTTTGTCTTTTAATGTGATGGGATTTTTGAAAAGTCATCTTCAGGCTTCTATGTGCCATCATCTTCATCAGTGATGATGCAGTTGGTTTATACTGAGCATGCACAGATGTAGCTCCTTGATGCAGGAAATGGGATACAGTTCTAGTTGGGTTAATAGAGATGTCTTTCTGTTTGGGTTAATAGATATAAGTCGTTCACTTTGATCCCCAGAGGAGGCTTAAGTGTCTGATCATCACAGCAAATGCATCTTCTTTGAATTGGTTTACAGCACAGTGGTAAAATGGATGAAAACAGATTTGTGGCAGTTACCAGCACAAATGCAGCCAAAATCTTTAATCTTTATCCAAAAAAAGGAAGGATAGCTGTCGGCTCAGATGCTGACATTGTGATCTGGGACCCAGAAGCCACAAGGTAAGTCTGAGATCCTGCATTACCTGGTTTTACCCTTGAAGAAAGGCACTAGCTTGCAAAGAAACTTTGCCTGGGCTGTTACCAGCCTTTGCTTAATAGGTGATTTATTTCGCTGTGCTCAGGGATTCTAAGCCTGTGCACAAGATAAAGGTTTTGATGTACAAATGTTTCTTTGTTTTTCTTGGCATGGAGGGTGCAAAAGCTGTGTAGAACTCACTGGGAATGGATATGTAGAGAAAACCAATATGAATTTGCCATTCCGGTGCCTGGCAAGTGCCTGAGTTCACACGGAGGGAACGTGCGGAGCCCTGAAGAAAATAAAAGGCTTAATTTGAAAAGAGCTGAATTGGAAACTCAAAATAATTACAGCCTTTTAAACACTTTTAGATAGAAAGATTCCAGCACAAAAGACATCACTTTTAGTTAGCCAAACTTTCCAGATGAGCTCAGACTCAGCCTGTCATTCCCAGAAAGCTTAAGCCCTTTGTTCTCAATTTCCGTAATTCTATGTTAATATTGTGGGTCCGACAAATTCCACCAAATCAAAAAGGCGTTTGATGGAGGTTGAGTTTCTGCTGAACTCTTCCTGTAGAACGTTGTCCCCAACAGTGCTTGCTTGCTCGTTTGTGCTTGTGCTGAACACTGGTAAGGAAGGCAATGCCACACACTTCAACATTTTGTGTGCACATGTGTACATACACGGGAATTTCATGGGCCTCTGTCTTCACTACATGGCATTTATGCAAGGTCTAGTATGTTTGTTTTTACCATAGTTATCAAAAGTGCACAGTTTCTGGGAAGCGGTATTGTTACAGAGCTTCAACAGAAGTGCCCTTGGGCCACCTTCTGGGAAAAAGATGGCCATTTGGAATTTGGAACATGAAGGAAGCTACTATGGCTGAGAGCCTAGAAACAAGCCCCAGATGGTCTTTTTGTGGTTGGCACTATCCTCAGGACACTCATTGTTCCTACCTAGGGACCAGGTCATGGGATTGGCAGGCCATGGTCACAGCAGGTAGCCTTTGGCCAACACTCCAGCATTGCACCTTGCTGCTTTCAAATTCATGCAAAGCAGTAAAAAGCTGTGTGAGAACCTTAGGTCAGGAAACACCCTGAGATAACAGCCAGTCACAACCCAGGGCCTTTGCTGCTGTGTTAACACAGATTTACATTTAAAGAGCCAATACCTGATACAGCTACGGGTAGACAAGCTTTCCACTAGTCTGGGAATGGAGTGGGAAAACATTGCTTGTCTTTCTGGACTCTGGATGACCTGGGCTGGCTGCAGGTTGGAGAACTCCTGATTCTGTAAGCTCTGCAGGGGCTGCTACTGCCCAGCAGTGGTCTGCAATTTAGGCCATTGCTCCAAGGCTGGAACCAGGTAGGTCTTTTGAAATACCTTGTGGCTTATGAAGATCACAAGGTTTAATTAGAAAACCCAGAAATTCTCAACGTTCTTCTCTGATGGAAGGACTATGTGAAGAGTGATGATTCCCGTTTGAGTCATCAGGATGATAATTAGCAGTAGTTTGTGCAAGTCAGTGGGGCCAAAGATACTTTGATGTCTAAGACCAAGAATGGTGATGAGAAAACTGTGAACAGTGTGTGAGGTTCACCTGCAGGCTGTGAGCCCACGGCTTTGACTTACACACCTGTGTTTAATACTTCATTCTTCATGTTCTAGTTCTTTTATCCAATGGAGGGGGGCAGTTTAATGCTGTTCTGTGTTTTTCTGTGTCAGAGTGGAAGGAAAATAAAGATGTTCTGTTGAGCTATGAAACTCTCCGATCTGCTTCCTAACCCCACAGAGAGCACCAAGAGGCCACTTCCATACCTCTTCTCCTTCCTCTTCTCCTCCTCCTCCTCCTTCTTCTTCTTTTGTTGAGGGTGGGGGGATTGAGACATGGTTTCTCTATGCAGCCCTGGCTGTCCTAGAACTCGCTTTATAGACCAGGCTGGCCTTGAACTCACAGAGATCCGCCTGCCTCTGCCTCCCAAATGCTGGGATTAAAGGCGTCCGCCATCACAGTCTAGTCCTCTATGGCTCTTCTTTTTACCTTTTTTTTTTTTTTATTTTTGCAAGCCATTCCATTTTTTTTATTGAAAATAGATTTAGATTTCTCCGTATTATATATTCTAATTATGGTTTCCTCTCCCAGATCCCCCATTCCCCACACACCTAAATCCACACCCTTTTCTCTCAGGCTCTCATTAGAATCCCCACAGGCGTCTAAAAATAATAATAATAAATTAAGATAAAATAAAAACAAAGAAGCTGGAGTAGTGTGAAGCAAACAAACTACCAGGAGAAAAGGAGCCCCCCCATGTGAATTATGCATGTGGGGGGACCCAAGGCTGTCCAGACCAGGGCTCAACACCTGAGGGAAAACCCACTGGGCAGATGGGGGAAAGTCATTCACACCCAGGCGTTGCATCCACATAGAGAGTTTATTATAATAGAGAGATGAAGAGAAAGATAGGAAAGAGGGAGAGAAGAGACGCCTCAGGTGCACACCTCCTGGGAGTGGAGAGAGAGAGTGGATGAGAGGGAGGAAGGGGAGGGGTTTTTCCTTTAGATCAGGACCAGGACGTAAGGAGGGCTCAAGGGGTGAGGTTTCAAGGGGCTGATCAAAATATTAACACCTTCTCACCTCCAAAAAAGCACAAGAAACACAAAGATGCAGAGACACATTCACACACACACATAAAACCCATAAAAACACAATGCTGGAGGCCATAATATATGTACAAAAGACCTGGAAGGGGAAAAAGGGAAGGAAGGAGGGAGGGAGGAAGGGAGGATGAAAGGAGGGAAGAAAAAGAAAGGAGACATCCAGACAAAGAATTACGAAACAAGGAACCTCTAAAATGCCAATGAATTTGTTCTGAGTTGTTGGGGCCCCTCTTTTTTAAGCCTCCACCTGGGTGACTCCAGCAGGGCCGGAGTTGAGAGTCCTTGGCTGTTTGAGTTCTGTGGATCACATCAGCTCCGGTACAAAGTGTTGTCTTCCTCAGACAACTGGACAAAGAGAAATGACCGGAATGCAAGGCTGTGACTAATTCTCTCGCTTTCTTTTCCACATTTTGCTGCTTGGAGGGTATTTATAGGCTGTGATTATGTCCCCTGAGTCATGCCTTAGGCTATACAGATTTAAATCACTTTCTCCCAAGCTCCAGTTGCTAACCTCTGTAACCCTCTTGTCTCTCCTCTTCCAGTCACTTGCTTCAGCACGGTGCATAATGATCCAGATGTGTGGCTATTTTTTTTTTATCGTCTATATGTTACTTACTTCATTTCCCTCTGCTCAGTCTAAGAATGACTAATTTAAGGTCAAACTCACAGGTGTCTTTCTGTACTACATAGGTGTTTATTCATAACCGGCTAGGCATATCTATTCAGGTGCTCGTCTTCCCTGCTTGTTCTTTACCATTTTTTTTGCGTAACAACTGCTCTTTATATAATAATGACGAAAGAAAGCTAAATATCTAAAATCTTTCTTGGTGAATGAATATATGTATTCAGCCTTTAATTTTGAGTGCTACGTCTTCATTAGTATAGCATGTATCCTTTAGCACGACCAAGAACTCTCATGCTTTCGATCCAGGTCTGCTCATCATGAATACCCCAGGGCCAGAAATAGTGAAAACCAGCACAGGCCTGTGCGACTGGCACTAGAGCTGAGGTCCAGCAAGGGCCACTTAAAGTCTCTGCAGAGCTCAGTGGCAGAGAGCTTGCTGAAGTTCTGGGCTCCATCCCCGACACCCTGCACACCACATAAAGAACAGAGGAAAGTAGGTCATTGTATGTCTGCTCCTCTTTTACCAAACAAGGTAACTAAATATGACTACGTCTACCACAAGATTACCATGAACAAACATATGTAAACGTATTTGGTAAGCTAAGATCGCCCTTATAGGGTGCCTGTTTTATGTAGGAATCCGCAGGTTCAAGTCCCAGCACTGCATAAACCAGATGTGATGTCACACACCTGTAATTCCAGAACTTGGGAGATGGAGACAGGAGAATCAGAAACTCAAGGTCGTCTTGGGATATATAATGAGTTTAAAATCAGCCTGCTAAAAAACGAGGGGGGAGGGAGGGGTGCAATTAGCATACGTTGTTATTGTGACCTTACCCATTTCTACTTTGGCTGTGATTTACTTTGCCCAGTATTTCGGCTAATTTGCCTGTGTTGACCAAGCAGCCAGGTGAACCAAGGGATTCGATTGTACTGATCCCCACATCCTCTCAGAAACCTACAGAACTTCTCATTTTCTCTGCCTCTGCTATCCGATCGCAGGTAGAAAAATACCATCAAGCTAATGAACGAGCTGAGTCCTCTTTGGAACTTGACATTTTAAATCCGTACCATTTTTCTCTAATTCATCATAATAATATTTTGCACTTACATGAAATTTGTAGAGTGTGGAGAAAAGTGAGAGGGGGTTGTTGAGGGGGAGGCTTCATGGGATGAAGGATTAGATGAACATTTAAACAATGAGAAAGAGTTTTTCATAGTTCGCATTTAAAGGGAGAAACCACGCTGTGTATCTGGGTCGATGACAACACCCGCTTTCTCTATTCTTGGCCTGCTTATTGTGAGAAAGGTACTCAGTTGGGCTCTCTGTTCCAACCAGAGTTTATGCAGATGACCTCAACTGGAATATTTCTAATGCACCACAGTATTTTTAGCCTCTCTGCACTCATCATCCACAGCTTTCTCCTGTCCTTCAAGGTAGAGAATGGTCACCATCGTCGCTGCCTACCTCTCCCCACCCTGCACACTGAATCCTAGTGATCCTGGACACCTGCTCACAATGCTGCACCATGGTCTTGCATCACTTTCTGAACCTTTGCTATATCCTTGAGGTGTAGGTGCATTTTTAAAAAGGAATAGGGAGTCACAGTGATGGTGGAGAGGACCCCTCTGGACCCCCCCAGCTCTTCTCTACTACTATTACCTGACAGAATGAAATGGTTGTCACAGTTGATGAGCTGA